CATTAACATCTGCATGTCAAGATATGAAACATATTGTGCTGTGAATAAAACATAGCCCAGACTCCTGAGGAAAAATATAGTCTCTTAGGAGAGAAAGCTAAGTAAATAAGTAAGTGATTGCTGTAGAGCATGATACATTCTGTAAAAGAAATGTGTACAATATGCTATGAAAGCACAGAATAAATAGTCTTGTGGGAGACGGGAGAGAGGAGCCTGGGATAATCATATTTTGAACTAAAAAGTGGTATAAAAATTCACTAGGCCAACACTTTATTTAGATAAACTGCATGAACAAAGGTATGGAAATACAGAGTTACAAATGGTATTTGGAGACTGAGGAGAGGTTTGCAGTAGCCAGAGTTTTGAGGTGAGAAGGAAAGTCATGGAAGAAAAGCCTAGCCAGGTAGTCATATGCATGAGTGACCTCAAATGGCTTGCTAAGGGCATTGGATTCTTATCTTGCAGCACCAGAAAATCACCCCAAATTTTTAACCAAAGGAGAACATGATCAGACCAATAGTTTTGAAAGCATCCTTGAATGAAAGACAGAGGATGGTAGAATAAAGACCAGGTGGACAAGTGTTGGTAAAAGAGAGAGAAAAGAAGAGACAGGGCAGAAAGGGTCTATACTAAAGAGGGAAGGAGTGGGGGGGGAGAAAGATTTCAAAAATAAAATCAGGTGAAAGACATAGAAGTAGATTTAACCAGAAGGTGATCTTTTTAAATTGAAAGGAAACAAAATTTCAGACTGCAAAAAGACCATGTAGTAATTTCAGCAGTAGAACACAAATCTCACAATTAGAGGATATGGTAGACTAGAACAAGTAAACTTCTTTGCAAAGCTGTCCAATAACTATCCAAACCTGGACATTATCTACCCTTGCTTAATAAGTTGACTAACCAGAAAATCTCTTCAAGCAAATAACAATAGCATCAGAGGCATTAAATACATACCTTACTTATCTCCTTACTTGTCTCCACTGTTAGCACTACTCTTTCATTGAGTTCATCTATACACATTGGTTACCTAAGAACTTGGTAATGCAAACAACCCTCACTCCAGCATCTATCCATTTGTTCATCATTCAATGGTCTTTACTAAGCACTCACTATGTGCTAGGAATTATTCCAGGTCCCCAGGCATCCAATGGTGAACTACACAATATAGATTCCTTCCTTGACTCAGATATCAGTCCAATAGGAGAGAGACTATAAGTAGTGTTTTCAATAAAGCATGTTGGAGTTTAATAAAGGGAAATATGCTTCATATTTCAGATTCTGTAAGTCTGGAATAGGACCTAAGATAGTGCATTTCTTTTTTTGTAATTCTCTTACTTTCCTTCCCCCTCCTCCCTCCTCCTCTACTTCTCCTATCCTCTTTATCAGACTTTTTTTTTTTTTTTAAAAACTTCAAGGGTGGTTTATTTAAGCCAAATAATCTGAGCAAGACACATATACACAATTTTTTAAAAACATGAATACAATAAAATCTCACTATACAATGTAAAATTCTAGCAACATATACAAATACTGAGTGACTACAGTACATGTCAAGGTAAGAAAAGTACATTCTAGGAGAATACAACTGACACCCAAACATTTTTACTTTCAATATGTATTTCAATACATGTTGTTCTGTTTACACCTTTCCCAGTACCAAAAAGAAAACCAGTCACAAGTTGGATTAAATGAGAATTGGTGCAAGAGTTGACCTAAAAGTATTTCAGTAACCACCCAACTCATACTTGGATGTTTTGCAGTTCAGCGACTTCAAGTTCAAAACCAAAGGCAGAGCTAATAACTATTTTCCTGGGCAGAGGCTGGTCATTTGTCTTGGTAGGGGATAACTGAAAAGCTTTCAATGTTCCACATAATGTACTGGTTCTTCATCTCGTTGGACACGGTGTTTCTAATAGCCCTTCTCCTCTCCAGATGACAATGTAGAACCAAGGCAAAGAAGCACAGCTTTATCACTTTCTAAAGCTTTGAGGCCATATTCATATTAAATGAGCTCATATTCTGCTTCTTGCCCCTGGGTGAGGGGAGAAAGGTAAACATAATGGACTTTTAAATCTGCATAAATTCTCTGCTTGGAACACTTTTATCAGCGAATGAATCCACTGCTTAATGCAAAGTGCAAATAGTGAAACATGAACTTAAATACCTGGACTAGACCTGGCACTTACAACAGGATCCATTTAGGTTTACAGCGTTTAATAAAAGATAAATCAGAAATAACAATATCATTAACTGTGCTGGTTCCTAGAATCAAGTAACAGGCCAAGTCAGCATAACTCTATGAAACCTATAGTGGTCACGCTTGCCAATCACTTCTGATTCTATTTCTGTAACTACGGTCAGGGGAAAAATAAAATAAACCACAGTGACTGAAGTCTTAAATGTTTCAAGCAAAGAATAAACATTCAAGAGAAATTTGTCAAAAATTGTTATATACCTTCACATTTTCGGCTGTTATTTGATTGTCTCCAAGGCTGTGTGCTGTGTTTGTGTGTGTGTGTGTGTATGCAAGTATATATATAGTCTGATATAATCAGACATATAAATATACTGCAAAACAAAAAATTTAAAAAATCTCTAATATGAAAAAACAACTAAAAAGTACAAAACTAGAAAAACGATTTGAATCAGGCTCAGCTCTTCTGTAAAGTAAAATATATAAAAATAGTAAAAACTAGATATTTTATTAAAATCATTGGTAGTTCAAGGACAGCACAGTAGCAATATGAATCAAGTGTTAAAATATGCATCATTTCAGAAAATTTGCCTCATCAAAAAAGAAACCAAGCTCCAAGGAAAAGCAATCAGGTCACACAATTACACAAAATATTAAGTTTCTTTGGGAAAATGAAAATTACTGAAAACATTTCTCTTAAAGCTTTACACAGGTACATGACTTGGGAATAAGTATATTTTCTGTGATGAATAAAAACAATAAAGCAACTGGTTTACTCCATTCCCACCTGAAAGGACATAGGTGCGTTAATACATGTGCTTTACACATTCATATACGGTTTAACAGAAGTTTAGCAGCTGTGCTTTTTGTTTCAAGTATCTTGAAACAAAATATGCATTGATTTTTCAATGATTGAAATTGTGCCTCAAAGTTTGAAAAATGAAAAGCAAATGTGAATAAAACCAACAAAATATTGGAGAAGGCCAGGAAGCTGCAGAAATAATTCATTTTTATGCAGTTTCTAGAATACAGTACTAGTATACTTACGGGTGCATCCAAAATGAATACTGTTCATCTTTATTCAAATTTAGTAAATTCTGGCAACAAAATAATCTGGTGGCATTAAGTCAGAAGAAATGACTAGAATCTAATGGGAAATAGCTCTAGTTCCTTACTATTATCTTTTATTTTACTCTTTACTTTTAATTTGATTTTTTTCATATGTACCTGAATCAACTCCACACAAGGAATGTAAACATTATGTACTGCAAACATGTATTAATGAAAAAAAATTTTGAGTACATTTTTTACATCAAGTCTACCAACTAATATTCATGGAAGGAGGGATGTCAAATTTATATATTTTTATCACATAGTGAACTTACGTTGTCTTGCCAGTCTAAAGATGTTTAGATGTGGTTTTTGTACTATAGGCTAATAAATTACATTACATATGACTTCTCATTCACTCCATCTAAAACAAGTTCTGGGCAGGTCATGAACAAATGGTGACTAAGAGTTGCTAGGAGGTATGAATTTCATTTGCTAGGATGCTATCCCATCTATTCTTTAGGTGTGACACAAAGGACTACTCACAACTCTTACGATACACAAAAGACACAAGCACATCGTACTGAAGGATATGCACTGGATTTCTATTTCTTATAATAGTTTTACTGAGGAAAACAAATTAAAATTATTTGACTAAAATAACACATCTTGAGACTCAAGTTTTGTGTGTGTGTGTGTGTGT